CTTCAGCGTCGCTCACGGCGCCTGCGCAGCCGCACTCCGACCCAGCGCCTGCTTTCTCAGCGCCTGCGCAACCCCGCCCCCCGACACCATGGCAACGCAGCCAACTTTAGGACCCACAGTTCCCAGCCTTGCCCAGCATTGTCTTTACACCGTTACTGCGAACCATGTCCCTGAAGTGTAGGTCCCGTCACCTCATTCTGTGGCCCACAGGGTGTGGGTCTGACAGCGGAGCCTGGCCCCCAGGTTTGCAGCACAGATGCTTCCCAGAGAGCTGCAGGGGGCGCTCAGTAGGGCGGGGGGCCTCTCCGCAGGGCAGGGAAGGCTGGCCTGCTGTTAGCAGCCACCAATGAGGACCACAGGCCACCAGAGGAAGCAGCTTTTATTGATGAGTTATCTCCAGAAACCAAAAGTCCATGGACCCACTTTCCGCCACCCGCTGTCCCTCCAGGACCTCACATCGCTCCACCTGGGGAGGGGATATAAGTGACCTTTGGGTTTTTCAAAGCCCCAGGCTTTCCCCTCCCTGTGTAGCCTTAGACATTCATAGCAATACTGTTTGTTGGTTTTTTTTCCAGCAATGCCTGCTGCAGCTACTTAATAACAGTTGTGGGTGAAAGAGTGTGAGGGAAGCATTAGATGAGTAAGGGACACACAGGAAAAAGGAACGGAGCCTCTCAAAGGTCCCCTGTCCAGCCTCAGTGGCTTGATCCTTCAGATGATTTCTCTTTATGCTGAATAACGCCTTTCTGAATCAGATCGGGGACTTCCACTGCCAGCCATGGACCCAGCTGTAAGACAAGGGAGACCTGTGAGGTTACTACCACCAAGGCAATGCATCTTGTTCTATCAGAAGCTCCTTCCTAGAGAGATTCTAGGGGAGCACACCCAAGGGAAAACACTGTTATTCCTTGTTTATTCTCAGTTACTTCTCTTTTTTATATTTCTATTGATTTTTGAGGGGGGGGGTGGACGGGAGAGGGAGGGAGAAGCAAATAACCCAAACTTACCCCCAAAGCCATAAGATGAGCTAGTCCAAACTTGGGCACGTTCCTGGCCCACAAAGGCTTAAAGTGATCAGTCAGACATATTTTGCCACCCCTATGAGAGGGATAAGAGGGAAGAAGGTGTTGACATGCAAGGTTACCATGAAACATAGCAGCCTCTTGGGAGCACAAGGCTACTAGTGATCCAAATTGAGAACAAGGTCAGCTAAGTGCAGTGCCCAGGCTTGGTAGAGGGAGGCCTAGAGCCCCTCTAGGCCAGCAGGCCTCTGGGAAAATTCCTGCCTCCCCAAGTTCTTCCCTAAGCCCATTTTGACCCGTTCCCATCTCCTATTCAGTCCTACCTATACATCTTGGCTGTTTTTCCATCCAGCTCAGGGACTGCAATTTCTGGAGCAGTAGTAGGATATGTGATAGGAATCTGGAGGAATTATAAAACCTTAATAAAAGAGAATCAGGATATAAAGGAACTAATGTAACCTGACATACATTTCTCAGTTGAACTGAAATGTTTGGCAAACTCCCCAAGCAGCATGTGCAAACCAGAATTCTGGACTTAGAGATTAGTAACTAATCTACGCTTGCTTCAAATCTGTTTTTGCCTCCCATTGGAAAATTTCTTCGGTCCTTTCAAGTAATGTTAGCTTGTTAACCTCCATATTTCCCACACCATCATACTCACGTCAAACTCGATGTCAAACTCATATTTGAGGAGATCATGGATGTACCAGCATTTTCCAAACCACCTATAATGAAGACCAAACCTCAGTCTAATTTGACCATTCTTCTCATACTCAAGTGACATCTTCTTGGCTTAGGTGACTAGCCCGGGAGACTCATGGGATAGGAATTGGGAAACTCTGGAGCTGTGGGAGTGGACACAGCCAATACGAAGCAGGGATGGCCTGGCAGTGAGCTCTGAGATACTAAAATGCTAAAACCACGTACGATTCCCACCCCGATACCCCCCAAGAGGGTCTGCCTACCGAGTCCCTTCCTTGTTGGACTCCAGTCGGAACCAATCAGTGTCTGCATTCTTGTTGTTCTCCACATACTAAAAGCAAAGAATTAGGCCTTTGAGGGGGAAGCTGAGGCCAAGGGCAGTTCCCCTTCCCTCAAAAGAAAATTATGTGACTACTTTCTTTTTTAGTACATTTGCCCAATTTTCCTGTCATAAACAAAAATAAAGACAAAGTCACACTGGTAAGCAGGGACTAGCAATTGCCCAGACTAGAGAATGCTTGGGCTCCACTCACTTTAGCACAAAAGATTTGATGACACCAGCTGAGTTCTCTTTTCACTTCTGACACTTTCTGCCCTCAGCTCACAACTCGTTTAATGGGGTGCTCCCTCCCTAGAGGACATGACATGGTCCTGGTTTTGATTAGCTCCCACATGCTGATGGACTTCCAAATCTTTATCTTTAATCCAGATGTTTTCTCCAGCTTCAGACTCCAGTATCCAACTATATATTTCTACCTTTGTTTCACAGGTACCTCAAGCTCAGCTTTTGCTTTTGTTCCTTCGGACCTGTCCCCCCACTGCATCAATCTCAGGCAGTAGCATCAACATTCACTGTCATTTAGGCTAGAAACCTGGAATTGTCCTTTAAAAAAATTTTTTTATATTGATTTCAGAGAGGAAGGGAGAAGGAGATAGAAACATCAATGATGAGAGAGAATCATCAATCGGCTGCCTCCTGCACGCCCCCATTGGGGATCAAGCCTGAAACCTGGGCCTGTGCCTGACCAGGAATGGAACCATGACCTCCTGGTTCAAAGGTCCATGCTCAAGCACTGAGCTGCACCGGCCGAGCTGGAATAATTCTTGATTCTCCCTCTCCTTTACTCTAGCCCAGCAACCATGTCCTGCTGATTTTACCTTCTGAATAGTCTTCAAATCTACCTCTCCTCTCTATTCTCACTATAACTAACTGTAGAGTTTAGACTTTAGAGCATCAACTTTCTTTTGCCTGGATTAATCACAGACTCCTAACTTGTCTCCTACCTTCAATCTTATCCCTGTCAATTCCATTTTCCTCTCTATTGCCACGGTGATTGATCTAAGCTCAAATCTGACCAGAATATTCCTTGGTGAAAATCCTTTAAAGGAATCCCAACGCCTCCAAGATAAAATTCGAGTGCTCAGACCTCTCCCTCGAGTCTTGCCCACCACTCCTTGCTACGCATTTGGTGCTGCAGCAACTCTGAACTAGGTGTCTCTTCATACACATCACGGCGTTTCTAGCGTCGGTGCCTTTCGCCGTGAACGTCCTCCTCCCACCTCAAGCACCGCCTCCTCCAGGGAGCCCGCTCTGACCAGCCCCACCCGGATTAGCTACCTCGCCGGTTCAGCACATTCTAGCAGTTCTTCGGCCTCCCTCTCCCTTTCCCCACTTAACGAGTTTAGTAGCCCGGCCCGCCGCCTCCGGCCTCGGAGCCCCTTCCTGGGTGCGGGGTGCACAACAGGTTTGCGGTGAAGAGAGGCACGCGGCAGGACAGACACCGGCCGCTCCAGCTCTCCTCTCAGAGAAGAGGGGGAGCCGCACAGGGTCCCGCCATCCTGCCACTACCCCCTCTTTGACTTTTCGGCCCGAACGTGCGCGCCTCCCCCCGGAGTGAAGAGGGGCCGAGGGGTCGGCGGGGACAGCCCGCTCCTCGCCCCCAGGAGGGCAAGCCCGGAGCCGGAGTGACACGTCACCCTCCGAG